GTAACAAATAATCATTATGTGCCTGGATGACTCGTGGAGATATCCCAGCAAAGAAACTATCCTCATTCTCAGGGTAACTAGAACAGAAAATATGATTAAATTAATCCAGAATAACAGTGTTCATAGCCTCCTTTTCCACCCAAACCCCATCATCATTCATGAGTCTAGATAAAGTATTCTTTTTCTTACGATGAGAGGCATACATGTGCTAATACTTTGTATTGGCATCAGCATTCCTGAGCCAATGCTGCTTGGCTCTCTGTTTCTAATAGGTATCCTCCTGAGCCTCAAGACGACCCAGCTGCTCTTCCAGGCGCTGAAATTCAGCTAACGAGACCAGATCAGTGTGACCACGCAGACGCTGCTGGTCCTTTCGCAGGGTGTTAATCTGGTCACCAAACATGTGATGTCGATCACCACCCCACCGAGACAATCGGTCTCCACAGTATAAAATACAATCCTGCAAACCCATGCTCCTCCCTTCCTCCCATGACCTTTCCACAACACCCCTACATCCGTCATCATGCAGACATGCCATCTCAAAACGGAAACCCCTCTTGCCAGTTCCACCCCTCCCTACGGAGTCATGGATCCCCAGGAAGAGAGCCGTGTGATCAGATCTTCGTGTTGGAAAATTCGTGAGCCTAGCCCCTACCACAACATTTCGCCAAGCATCTGTAGTGAGCACTTTATCGACTCTTTCCTCAATCCAGTTAGGCGTTCCTTGTCCCTTTTCCCATGTAAACTGATATCCCTCCATAGGCATCTGCGACAATCCGCAATCCTCAATAGTGTCCCCAAAACCGCGAAGAAGACTAATCGGATGCGGGTTGCCCCCGCGTTTTTCATGCTGATAGAGTAAATCATTAAAGTCCCCCACGACAACCCAGGGGAGATCAGATCTACCTGCTAGCGATCTCAATAAATCCCAGGACTCGCTACGCCTATTCCTCTGAGTGAAACCATAATAACATGTCATACGCCAGTTAAGGAAACCAGGAATAGTTACCTCAATATCAATATGGGTTTTCGAGAAACTCAACAGGTTCGTCGTATTATTTTTCCTCCATAGTAATGCTAGACCGCCACTCAAACCACTGTTATCCACATAAAACATACCATCAAAACCAAGGGTGACACGCATACGCTCGGCATGTACACGTCCCACCATAGTCTCCATTGAAAATACAAAATCGGGTTTCTTACGAGACACAAGGTCCACAACTTCTCGAACTGTACGTGGGTTACCCAAGCCACAGCAGTTCCAGCTTAAAGTACTCATTGGGTCGGGCGGGACTGGGCACCAGTTCCCGCCATATGCAAGTTTTTTGAACCACCATCCATACTCGTTTCTTCACTTACCGGCAGCTCAACCCGGCCACCACCACCCACCACCGCACGCCGGCGTTTCAAGGAGGTCACCACCCCATCCTCCACATCATCACATGGTTCGACAGTCCTGACGTCGCCCTGCCCATCCTCCGAGTCGGCCGTCTGTTCCGAACTGCTTCGTTGGGCGGTCGGCGGTCCGGCTGCCTCAAGCGGCGGTAACAACCAGGACACACCAACCGGCTGGGGGCCTCTAGATTGGCCTACCCTCATCCACGCTACATACGGATAAAACTTAAGGGTGAGACTGGAGACTCGTGCCTTCAAACAGAACTTATCCAGATGCCCGAGCATTCCGCCGTAAAAACAAAAATTATGTAGCCGTTCATATTTCAAGTTCACCCATCCCCATGTCTTGTCCCTACGGATCAACTTCATACGCCGCTTCAAGGGTTTTTCCACCGGCACTGCCACGCGAACACGGTAAAAAACTTTCATTGATCCGCCAACTAGCCGGTTATCACAACGGATAAATGTTCCGATGTAATTTCCGACTTGTTCTAAGACCACATTGGAAGTATAACCTACCGGAAAATCATGGACCTGTACCCACATATCAACAGTGTCCAACTTGACTTCCCCTGGAAGCATCCCATCACGTACCTGCCAGCATACGAGCATATGGTTTTCAAACGACCATGGCCCCTCCTCAAGCACCCGAACCATGTCCGTCTCATGGTAGAAGGCAAAGAGGAATAGATTAGAGTGTAGCTCCGTCACACGCATCCCCATCATAGGCATCCAAACCGAAGCCAGAACCTGCCGCATATACTCAACTTTAATTAGCTTGGCCGTCAAGAGCCTCCCAACGACAGAGTAGACCGTCTCACCATCCTCCGCCGTTGGCTGACCAAACCCTCCGACCTCGACTCCTTCTTCCTCAACCTCAAGGGCCATATCGGCCCACCGCTCCGTCACCCTTGCTACCAGCTCATCACACTGTTGCTGCGCCGGAGAAACCGTGCGAACCTGCTTTGACGATCAGCTTTCGTTTTCTGCCGTCGCTCAAGGCTTTCGATCGGAAAACTTAGAAACCCTAGGAAGGGAGAGATGGAGAGAAACCCTAGAGAGGGAGAGAATTCCGCTTGTGCTTAACAATTTAGTTATTATATTTCCCCGTTTCTACAGTTAACTTAAAAAAAATATAAAAAAATTTCCTGTTTCGAATGTACATAAACTCATAACAGAATACACATAACCTCATAACAGAATACACATAATCTAACATAATACATATAAACTCATAAGAGAATACACATAATCCAACATAATACATAATACACATAAACTCATAATATGATACACATAAACTCATAATACAATACACATAATCTAACATAATACATAATACACATAAACTCATAACAGAATACACGTAATCTAACATAATACATAATACACACAAACTCATAACATCATACACATAAACTCTTAATATAATACACATAAAAGCTGAACAATAAAAACGGCGTCGTTTTGGTCAGGACACACAATACATTGTGCGCCCTCGTGCACGGTCTAACGATTGCTCATACATCTACACATATGGTTAACTTTCTTTGAAATTTATTTCTTGACTTTGAACTAATCTTCCATTTATCCGTTACTATAAAAATCTAATTTCATCAAGATGTAACCAGTTATTCTAAGAAATAAAAATGATTTAATCAAGCAAGTAAGAAATTATTCAAAAAGCTCTACCTACCAGACTTATTTATCCAACGCGTAGTCGTGTTTGGCGGAGATTTAAGTTTTAACAAGTCCGGCATGGAATAAGGTTTAAATTAGCCACTGATCGTAACCTGAAAATGCAATTAGACTACTGAACGCAAAAAAAAAATGCAATTAGGTCACTGAACACTTCAAAAACGTGTAATTAAGTCACTGAACACTCCAAATGTATGCAATTTTACTGGATAGCAGGTTACCATCAATTTTAGTAGGTTACCTGCTTACGTGGCAGCTGAGTTGACATTTTTAATAATTTTAAAATAATTTTTAATAAATTTTAATAATAAATTAAAAAATGAAAAAAAAAAATTTAAAAAAACCCCGTCGTTTTTGTTTTGTTTGTTTTTTTTAATTTTTTAATTTTTTTAAATTTTTTTAAAATCTATTATTAAAATTTATTAAAAAGTATTTAAAAATTATTAAAAATGCCAACTCAGCTGCCACGTAAGCAAGTAACTTGCTAAAATTGATGGTAACCTACTATCAGGTGAAATTGCATACATTTGGAGTGTTCAGTGACCTAATTGCACTTTTTTTTTCGTTCAATGGCCTAATTGCATTTTCAAGTTACGTTCAATGGTCAATTTGAACCTTATTCCTAATAATAATAATGTTATATTTTTTTGAATGCTACTGACTCTATTATATATTGTATCTCATAACCTCCCATATGAGAGAGGTAACTACATTCTATCTGAGTACAAGTGCTTATCAATAATAATGTTATATTGTGTACCATATATGCAAAAAATAATGTAAATTGGTTGGCGAGAATCTGACAACGTTGACCAAACTTGTCGTTGTGACTTTTTGAGAAAATTAGTATTCTTTTTTATAGTAACCGAACCATTACTGGAAGGGGTATGCATTTGATAAATCTCATACTGTAATCCTACCTAGGAAAGTCTCACAAAGAAATAAATCAATCTAAGTTATTTATAGTTATTGGCGCAAACTTCGAAGATTATAGTTGAGAAATTAATTTTCTTATTTTGAGTGACGAGGGAAACCCGTAACTACTATTCGAAGGTAAGCACGGGATAAACTTTGCTTATGACCCTAGTTAGCAAAAGATCACAAGAAAGTAAACCCGCCTAGGTTGCCCATAACTAAATGTCTTAAATCAATAAAGTCAATAAATCTCTTTCACTAAGTGTCCAACTTGTAACTTTATGATTACCTAGTCAATAACATGATTAACTTAAGTGGAATTGCCCACTAGTTTTGTTATTTTGTAACCTTAGAAAATGCTCAAAATGTTAACACTTAATTATTTGAAAAAAAAAAAGTCAATTAACTTTGTTAAAAAAATTGTAATCACATATTAAAAATTTATTTAATTGTCCATTTACTACTATAAGGCTGTAATAAATATATAACATAAGGATAACCCCAATTAAGTTGGTCAAGACATTTAACTTAGTCTCTGATTTTTTACTGGCTAGGGTCACAAGGTGAGGTTTACCCAATACGCGTCTTCAAGTAATAGTGGTGGGAGTTCCTCTCGTCATTCAATAAATATATATATATATATATATATATATATATATATATATATATATATATATATATATATATAACCTTACTATATGCTAAATAATTAATTTTTAATAAGTTATATGAATATCCAAAGTCAGAATATTAACCAATTTGTGCATATTGCAAAGAAAAAAAAAAAACAATAGTGTTCATACATGGATATTGATTTAACTGACCTAGTGGATGGTCTTCAATAAAAGTCAAAGAAGAAGAACTAGTCTCCCAATACATATACATGTATATATTACCTTTGGACTTGGTCTGTTTTTGTTTGTATTCCCGGTCCATAAGAGGGCACGCAGTCCATCACAGATCAACACACAAGCCAAAAACAAGAACGAAGATGATGAGGTTCCTTGTCCTACTTGTGTTGTCGGCAATACTTGTCTTTTCTCCGACCACCACCTCAAGAACCAATTCTTCCATAGCCAAACCCACCTGCGACGATCATTGTGGGAACGTAAGCATCCCATTCCCCTATGGTTTGACAGAAGATTGTTCTTTAAACTCAGAATTCTTCATCAATTGCACCACTTCCCCTGATGGCTCTCCTAAGCCACTTCTAGGGCACGGTACTTTAGAGGTAAGAAAGATATCAGTTGAAGGGCAGTTGGTGATCATGAGCTTCATAACTCGACAGTGTTACCAGAAGGGTATATCTAATTCCCGGCAGCAAGGATGGTACAGGTCGGAATCGTTCAAATTGTACGTTAACCAGACCGCCAACAAATTCGTCGCCGTCGGCTGCGACACTTTCGCCAACGTTTATGCCTACGGCGATGACCGGTCGTACAAAACAGGGAGTAACTGTATGGCCACCTGTAACTCCACAGAGGATGTTGCAAACGGGACTTGTTCCGGGTTTGGTTGTTGCGAGACGGAGATTCCTAACGTGGCCAGGAACGTTTACTATTCAGTGGATAGCTTGAGTTACTATAACGACACTGGCGATGATGTTAATAAGTGCAGCTACGCATTCGTGGTGCAAAAAGAGGAGTTCAGGTTTTCCTCCACCATGCTTACCAGAACTTGGGATGTTAAGACAGTGCCCATGGTTCTTGATTGGGCCATCTCGAACCAGACGTGTCTTACGGCGTGCCAAGGTAATACCACATGTGTTGCCGTCAATGGTGAGGGGTATCGTTGCGGTTGTAAGGAGGGTTATGAAGGCAATCCTTATCTATCTGGTTGCCAAGGTATGTATATATGTTATATCATTCATTCATGTATATATGGTGTGTCTGCACTTTTTATGTTCTGCATGTTTCCATTTACTCAGCTTTAATTTCTTATTGTTTGAATTTTTAGGCATTTAGAGTGGTTGGTATAAATATTATATTTGTGGGTTTAACTCCTAATTTGAGTCAAGTCAGGTCAAAATTGATTTGGGTTCTTCTAAGACGATGAATCAATAAGTCAGGTCAAAATTGATTTGGGTTCTTCTAATACGATGAATCAATATATATAGTACAAAGAGAGATAATGAGTGAATTGAATGTGAAATTGTTTCTGTACACATCTGAGTTGGAAGGACTTGAAAGAAATCTTTGTCCTGGAAGAGGAGGTGCAAATCAAATCTCTGAAAAAGGGCAAAAATTTACTTGATTTTTCTCTCTTCCATCATTGTTTTTGTTTGATGGTGACATTATAGTTTGAGTGTTCAAATATCAATTGTTCCACGTTGTTGTAATATTATAGTTTGATTATGACACTTTGAATCAGTGTCCTTTTGGTTTGTTCGTAGATCAATGAATTTTGGCTCATACTTTAGCTAGAGTTATGAGTTCTCATTCTAGTCCTCTCTATTTAGTTTTTTACTATTCCTCCATGCATGTATTGATCATCTAATTTCTTACGTATAGTTTTAATGAACTTTCTTTATCAGGACAAAAAAAAATGAACATTATACTTTGATTGCTCAACTATTTTGATGTAAATTTGTGTATCCTGAAAACTTAGATTACAATGCTCGTACTCCTAGCACTTGGGATATAAAGAATAAGATTTTAAAGACAGTGTGGGACTACACATGATTTGAATTTATTTTACCTTATCATCTATTGATTTTTCTTGTATTTCAAAAAATTATCCTATAGTTAATTGGTTGTGCAGATATTGATGAATGTGCAAATGGACAGCACAACTGCTCCCAAAACGCTGATTGCTTAAATACCAGAGGTGGCTATGAGTGTTCATGCAAGAAAGGCTACCATGGCGATGGGAAGGGTGCTTTAGGGTGCAATTCTTCAAATCATCGACTCATCATGCTTGTTTTGGGTAAACCATCCAATTACTTTCATTTTTGGTAGTACTATACATACTATGCAGAGTTGATTTCCGTTTTAAGAAAGAAATGTTGATTGCACATATATGTGCAGGTATTGCTTTAGGCACTATAACACTGTTGATCAGTTATTTTTGTGTGTACTTGGTATATCGACGGAAGAAATCAGTAGAGATGAAAGATAAATTCTTTAGGGAAAATGGAGGATTGATTCTGCAACAAAGGATTGCCCAAGGTAGTGCATCTTCTGGCACAACAAGAATTTTTACTACAGATGAGCTTAGAAAAGCAACCAACAACTATGACCAAACCAGAATCATTGGTCAAGGAGGCTTTGGCATTGTCTACAAAGGGCACCTTCTTGATGGCCAAACAATAGCTGTTAAAAAATCCAAAGTGATGGACCAAACCCAGGTCGAGCAATTCATCAATGAGGTAATTGTGCTCTCCCAAATCAATCACAGAAACATAGTCAAACTCTTTGGTTGTTGTTTAGAGACAGAAACTCCGTTGTTGGTTTACGAGTTCATAAGCAATGGAACATTGTCTGAACATCTATACAGCAAAGACAAGGCATCCACAATACCATGGCCGATCCGTTTAAGAATTGCTACTGAAACAGCCGAGGTCCTCTCTTATTTACACTCTGCAGCTTCTCCTCCCATCATCCACAGAGATATTAAACCCGCGAATATTCTCCTGGATAATGACTACACTACCAAGGTATCCGATTTTGGTGCTTCAAGATTAGTCCTACAGGATGAGACTGAACTGATGACTATGGTGCAAGGAACATTCGGTTATCTGGATCCAGAATACATGCAAACACACCAGTTAACAGAAAAGAGCGATGTTTATAGCTTCGGGGTTGTCCTACTGGAATTGTTAACAGGTAGAAGGGCAGTATTTTACAATGGCCCAGTGGAAGAGAGGAGTTTATCCGAGCATTTTCTTTTAACATTGAAAACAAATCAATTGTTCAAGATTCTTGATGCCAACATTGTATGCGAGGGAAACACTGATGAGTTACAAGAGATTGCCTTGCTTGCAAAAAGGTGTTTAAATGTGAAGGGGGAAGATAGGCCAACAATGAAGGAAGTTGCAGTGGAACTAGGTGGATTTAGGAGAGCAACAAAACATCCTTGGACTAATAATTCAATGGAATCACATGCTTTACTTACTGACCCATCAATCCCCTTTAGATATGATGCGACTTTTAGTATAACAACAACAGAGTATGATAGCTTAAAACATCATATGGAGTTACCAGTAACTGCCGGAAGATAATTGCAACCACTTATCTCATTAGAAGTTATGTTCTACAAATGATATAAATAATGCTTTGTTTCTATTTTTAATTTCCATGCTATGTTTCAAATAAATTATTATGATTTTTCACTTATTTGAACTTTATATTCTAATATTCATGTTTCATATTTTTTTTAAAAAAATAGTAAACCATAGAAGCTCCAAAAAGAAAATTGGTAAAACACCTGCAATTTGGGTAAACCCTACCAAATTGATCAATTGACTTAGTAACCACAAAATTACAAATTATATTTTTAACGAGAGCAATCAATTGACTTTCTTAGTTTGAATAGGTACCTTTTTGTTGTCCCGGGCTCCGACTAGAGTTATAAGACGAGATTTACCTAGTACATACCATCGGATAATAGATACGAGTTTCTCTTGTTAAAAAAAAAAAAAAAAAAAAAAAAAAAAAACTTGCAATTTGATCCCTAACTGGGTTATGATATTCTCCGTTAGCTCTGCCAGCGCAAATTATGTTGTGGACTCGTGTCCAGTGTCCACAATGCATTGTGGACACGAGTCCAAAACAACGTCGTTTTAGGAAAAACGTGACATTTTAAAATTGATTTTGTCTCGTCGTTAACGGCATTATTCGTTTGTGGAGTTATGAGTGTACAATTATGAAATTATGAATGTACAGTTATAGAATTATGAATGTACAGTTATGGAATTATGAATGTAAGTTATGAAATTATGAACACAAAGCTCTGACATTATGAACTTACAATTATAAATATATAGTGATAAAATTATGAACACAGAGCTCTAAAATTGTGAACATAGAGCTTCAAAAATTATGAATGTACAGTTATGGAATTATGAATGTACAGTTAGGGAATTATGAATGTATAGTTATAAAATTATGAATGTACAGTAGTTATGAAATTATGAATGTACAGTTATGGAATTATGAATACAGAGCTTTAACATTATGAACTTACAATATGAACATATAGTGATAAAATTATGAACATAGAGCTCTAAAATTGTGAACATAGAGTTTCGCAAATTATGAATTTACAGTTATTGAATTATGAATGTACAGTTACAGCATTATAAATGTACAGTTATTGAAGTATGAATGTACAGTTATGGAATTATGAACACAGAGCTCTGACATTATGAACTTACAATTATGAACATATAGTGATAAAATTATGAACATATACTCCTGTAACAAAGTGGTCTGAATTTTTATTTATTTTTTTTTATAAAAAAAGTGGAAGATAACGGTGCCACTAACGGCACCGTTACCGTGTCCACAATACATGCTGGACACGGGTGCATAGCATAACGATTGCTCTGCCAGAATAGTCTAAAATTGTTGAAGTCAGGCAGGCCCATTGCTCTTAGATAAAAGTTGCAGATGGATTTTGGGCCCAAATCAAGTGAAGCCCATTAAAGCCTTTTGGGTCAGCCCACTTTGGCAAATTATACTGTGCAATCGTGTGCACTGGTCTAGATTTATAATTTCTATATTGTAGATTCATAATTTTTATACTGTAGATTCATAAAATCTATACTGCAGATTCATAATTTTATAAATATATGTTCATAATTATAGAGCTATATGTTCATAATTTTCGATGTTCATATTCCCAATTGTTGAATTCTGTATTCACAAATCACATAACTATATGTTCCAACACAGATATTATGAATCTACTACTGTATTTAAATTATGAATCTACGGTTTAGAAATTATGAATCTACAGTATAGAGTTTATGAATCTACAGTATAGAAATTATGAATCTAGACCCGTGTGCACCATGCATGGTGCACACGGTTGCACATCATAACAATCTAATGGACATATAGTTAATACCTAATTTAGTTATCGACTATAGTAATTTTTCTTTATTTAATCTTAAATATCTTTTTGTGCTTAATTGAGGACTAAATCAAGAAAAATCACTATAATTGATGACTAAATTGGGTAAAACCATTATACTCCTGGACTAAATTACGTATGGGTCATACTTGTGAGGCCGTCTCACAAATCCTTATCCGATAGATAGGTCGGGTCGTGTTGTGTGAATATGAAAAATGTAATACTAATTAAGAATAAAATGGTTGTTACTTATAAGGGAAATTGTAATACTTTTGAGGACAAATGTAATATTTTTATATTTTGATTTAAAAATATTACAGTACATTTTTTATCAAAAGTATTACATTTTCCCTTATAAGTAATGTTGACGTACAAGTGTTTGTTACTGATAAGGGAAAATATAATACTTTTGAGGAAAAATATTTTTTTTGAAAGTTACTGGCTCTATTACATTGTAATATCTGTTCATATACTTTCTCAACCTATTAAAACACAAAGAACCAATAACGCCTCCACTGAGGCTTGAACTCGTAATCTTCCAAATGGAAGTCCAACCCGGGTACCATTAGACCACATAGTCCTGGTCTTTTGAGGAAAAATATAATTCTTTTAAATCAAAATATAAATGTATTACATTTTTCTTCAAAAGTATTACCATTTCTCATATAAGTAATAAACATTTTATTCTTTATTAGTATTACATTTTCAAATATAAGTATTACATCTTTACCCAACTCGTCTCACGGATCAGACGGTCTCAAGACTAAATTAGATAAAATTATCGGAGTTTAGGACTCAATTAAGCACAAAAAGACATTTAAGACTATAGTGAAGAACTAAATTGGTATTAACTCTTTTATATTTTGACAAACTAAATAGTTTTGTGAGAGTAAGCATTCAAATTAATATTTTTTGCTGTACAAGTGGTAAAAATTTGTTTTTCATGAAAATTATTTAATAGTTATATATTTAATGCATTTTTTTTATTATAAGGGAAGAGAATATACCTACATATACCTACATATACAACTACTAAATCAAATATATCACCATAATCGCTTGCACTGCACCAAATTAAAGCACGAACTCACCACTTTTCATATATAAAAATAATTTGGTACCAGTAAATTACAAGGTTCTTGGTATGTTTAATACACATTTAATACTACATTGCTAGCACGGAAACAAAAAATCATTAGAATATTTTATTTTTTAAAAAGAAACGTAAGATACAATATACTAGGAAAATGGATAAATACAAATTAGAGAAATGACTCTAAAATATTTTATGGAGTTCTTTTATAAAAACTAGACTAAAAGAGTATTTAATTTTTTAATTAAATGATTTATAAAAAGTAGACTAAAAATATTTAATTTATCTTGTGAAGAAATGAAAAAGAGAAGATAATTAAAAGTGTTGCTAATGAGATTTGAACCCATGACATAAGCCTTTTATAACATAAAATTTAAATTTAACCAACTAAGTTACTCAAACTATTGATATTTTTAACATAAATATAGATTTTATGTAATATTTCATGCTATATATACATATACATACATATATATATATATATATATATATATATATATATATATATATATATATATATATATAAAGGGGTGGGATGGGGGGAGCTGCCCCCACACTGGGTCCGCCACTATATATATATATATATATATATAGGTCCATCGGCGGTATATATAGGTCCATCTTAATCATGGCGATTCAATGAACTAGCAGGGTGTCTACACTGTTGCTGTCGAGATTTGAACCTTAGTCTTTACTCACAAATACTACCTACTAAACCAATAAGTTAAGCGCATCGATCCGAGCACAATTACTTATTCTATCTAGTGGCATATATGTTTTTCATTACAACTTGTTGAAACTACTATTTTCAAATCTTTGTAACACATTTCACATGGTATGAATTATATGATCGGAGTTGGTGTTAAAAACATTACAAAACATTTCAAATGGTATGAATTATATGATGGAAGGCAAGGTGGCAACAATTCTGCATGCATGCATTCACGGATGAAAAATATATATACATATGACACATGGCTACATTCAAGCTATCCTCGTAAGTATACTCATGCACAAAACAACAAACTCCCTAGTTTATAATATTTAATTATACAATGATATATATTATAAATATTTTTTGGTAATCACCAACATAACTATGCCTAACTTTTTTGTCTTGTGGCATTGTTTGGTTGCTATAAATGGGATATATACATGCATACTGCTTCTAGTCATCATACTAGTTATTTGAAGCATATCCCCTCTAGCTAAGAAGTGAAGATTGAAGGTTCCATCCATGGCTACTACCAAACTCGGCTTTGTCACTCTCCTCCTCCTCTGCGGTAAATAATATATATGTCCTCTAGCTAGCTTAGCTTGTTACTTCCATTGTGATCTTTAATGATTAATATGGTGAAAAGTTATACCAAACTAGTAGTGATAAACGCTTGATTTTATGTGTAAGTGTTAAAGCTGATGAAGGTTTGGGTTTGTACATGCAGCCATTGTTATGGCGGTGAAGAATGCAAATGCCCAAGAAATGAAACCTTGCACTAAAGAGTGCGACGGTCGAGCAGAGTATATGATCTGCCCTCGTATGCAGGGCTCAAAGGAAATGAAAATTGCAGGTTCACTTTGTATGAACTGTTGCGCAGCAGAAAACATGGGATGCATACTCTTGGATCAAGATAGAACTCCCTATTGCCATGAAGAGGAGCGCACGTTCATCCGTAAGATGGCAACCATGGTTTAGATCCCCATGAATGTATGCGCCAATAAAACGCAAACATCACGTTTGCTCTATGTAGTGTATCTATCTTTGAATAATTAGGATCGGAGATTATTAGGCGGCTTATGTACGCCATCTCCTTTCTTGTAGTGATCTGAAGCTTTTGCCGATGGTAATGAAAGAAAGTGGTGGAATTAATTAATCAGGGACTCGAATTAACTAAATCTGATTAACTAAAGATAAGTAGTGAAATGTAAAGACAATGTAATACTTGAACATCGAAGTGTAAGTAAATTGTGTTAAAAATCTAACTAACAGTTTTATATATTGCACTTTAAGTGCAAGTAAAATGTATTATAAGTGCAACTAATAATGTTCACTGAGCATCAATATTAAGTGTACCTGGCGTTATCATTAGTTGCACCAAACGTTATCATTAAGTGCA